CCAGATATGAGCTATAGTCTAAAGTCCTAGTATCCCCGCTAGTAACCCCTATAGTAGTCCCCTATAGAATTCCCTATATAACCCCCCTATAAGGAGTTTAGACTATGGCTCATATACTAATCCCAGCTATCTCCATTATAACCCTACTTATCAAGTAAACCCTAAACCCTAAACCCTAAACTCCAAGTGGGGATTTTTACATCAGCGGTGCGGCTTAGAGGCTCTAGGCTTGCCGGGTCGTTCAAGATTGCGAATCCTGCAGGACCCTGTACATATACCTAAAGCCTAGCAAGTATGGTGCTATGTCACATATATATATATATGCATATATACTTCTTACGTAAAGGCAGGCTTTTGTCCCCCATCAACAGTAGGAGACCTGTTCACGGCTCGCGAACAAGTACGTTTGAGGGCAGGGTCCTCCGGGTTGTACCCTGAACCCTAAACTATGTTCCCCTCACACCTTTAAAGGGCTCTGGAAAAGTTGCCATGTCTCCAAGGCATTGGTATAGACCGTGTTGAAAAACAGCTGGAACAGTTTGGCCCCATGACATAAACCCTTGTTTGAGTCATTGTGGACTTGTTTTTGGTTGGGGCATGTACCCCAATGTGGATGCTTGGATCCATCAAAAACATGACGAGGGCCAGTCCCATAACACAAGCCCAAATACAATTCAAGATAATTACTTTGTCAAAACTTTCAATAAATGGGGGGGAGGGGATGTTCTCTTTGGGGGGTTCCTATACTAAGGCCTATGCTAATGTTGGAGGTAAGCAGGCGGGCAGCTTTTCTGCTTGGGTGGCCTGTCCAAGTGAAGCCACCCGCAACGAAGGAGCGGTTCAGGATGTTCTGCCAGGCGACCTGACGGAGAGCTTTACAGGATGCATACAATACTTAAGGGTGAGGGGTGCTCCGTAAGTAGGTTTGCACTTAGGATAACTCGGGTTGCTATCTGGGCTATAGGGGTTAGTAACCTACTTCCTAAGCCCCCATCACCCTGCAAGCGGAAATTCACCATCATGTTAAGAACCTTATGTGGGTGAGTAGATTGCAGAGCCTAAAGAAGAAGAAGGAGGAAAAGTCACTAGTGCGTCCCAGGAGCGCGGGTTGTGTAAGAATGAACTTGTGCAATGCATGTTCAGTAGTGGCGAGCGATAGTCTGCCCCAACTGACAAGCTTAGCCATGTGACTGAACAAATGTTTAGAACCTTTTTGAAACAACATCATGCTCAATAGACGCCAAGTTGGGGGATGTTCTGATGGCCTTTTGCCGCGCAAGATGCGCATTCCAGTGCGTCTTACTGGAGATCACAAGGTCAAAGCTGAATCCCAAACCTTCAAATATCCAAGGCTGACCTGGGAGGTCTCTCCCCACCCCGGATGTTCCGTGTCGTAGTCGCGGACGTGGCCCGCTGCGGGATCATTGCTGACAAGGCCTGCGCAGACTTCGCGTTGTGCAACTTGACTTGACTGATGCCGCACCACACACGGAAAATGCCGAATGCTTTTGGAACCTGTAGCTAACTTCATCGTAACAAAGTGGCGGGCCCACAAAATGGCTTCGCTTTGCTGCACTGAAGCTTTATAGGCTTGACGTTGGAATTTACAGCTATTTCGTATCAAGATGTGCATGGCTATGTGTTCAGTGATTGCAGCTTCGGGATTTTGGAGCTTTGCGAGGTTGTAACGTTCAGTTCTGGGTTTTGGTTTTTGAGGGGTTGGGACTTTGAAGAGATGATTTGTGGCCGGGGCTTTACGTTGAGCTGCCACAGCCTTATGGAAACTGAGTGACTTTAAGGGGGTCCTCTACGATTCTGGATGGGGCCCCATCCCCCACCCAAGCCCCAAGACATCCCAGCAATTCAACACAATTACGGCTTTGAGCAACTTAAATGAAGCTCCTTGAAACTAACCCTAAACCCCAAACCTTAAACCCTGAACCCCAAACCTTGAACCCTAAACCCTGACCCCTAAACCCTACACCCCAAACCTCACACTCACACCCTACCCAGACCCTCCAATGTAGTACCTTTTTTGGTACTCCTAATAAGAGTCCTAACCAAACAACCATACCAAACCCAAAAAGGAACTACATTGGAGGGTCCAGGTAAACCCTAAACCCCAAACCCTAAATCTAAACCCTAAACCCCAAACCTCACACCCTAAATCATTATTCAAAACATTCCACGAGAAGTTCAGTTCAGCCTCGGTCTGAATAGGCAGAAGAGGTCTCGCTGCTGATGGCCGGCACCTGACTTCATGATGGGTTTAGGGTTTAGGGGAGGGGTTGGGGGTTGGGGGTTTAGGGTTTAGGGGTTTAGGGGTTTCAGGTTTAGGGTTTAGAGCTTAGGGGTTTAGGGTTCAAGGTTTAGGGGGTAGGAAGTACGGGTGAGGGTTTAGGAGTTTAGGATTGCGCCGCGCCGCTTGATGCTCCTTTCCTCCTAGACACTGCAGCACTTTCGGGATTTTAACTGTTGCCTTATTTCCTGCATTCGCCTTAGTAGAGGCAAAACCAAGGGAACGGCGGGCAGCCTCTGACGAAGTCTGGGGGCAGCCACGATGCCAAGACAAAGTTAGTCGAAAGCGGGGGGCCTTTGACGAACTTAGTCGATGGGCCACAAGGTGTTTGCGAAACTGGCCATCGAAAGTCATCGAAAAATATGTTACAAGTGCAATTTCACACAAACCTTCGAGACGAAGCATGACAAAGCGGGGGCGCTTAGTCGAAGCTTGGAGAAGGACGAAGTGTCCAAGACAAAATTTAACGAAGGCCCCCTGCTGTTTCTTCCTTTGTGCGGTTCCCCTTAGTTTGCCCTTGACTTATAAGTTTCAAATGGTAGTTTCCCAAAATAGGGGGACCCCAATATAGACCCTAAAATACTATAGTCCGTATTATTGGGACCCCCAAAAAGGTATCCATAATTTTGGGAAACTCCCAAATCCATCGAGGCAGTTCCAGAGCTTGGGGGTCCCTTGTTGCGCCACAAGGTTGGGATAGAAAACATGGAGGTACGCAGCTAAAGTCTAAACTGCCTTTAAAAGGGGCTTAGGGTTTAGGGTTTAGGGTTTAGGGTATATAAGGGATTACATAGGGGACCATTCTGGCGTGACTACGGGGCACACTAGAAGTTTAGACTATAGCTCATATAAAATGAGGAAACTGGATTTGGGGGGGGCAATAATACGGCTCATAACATATTGGGGTCTATATTGGGGTCCGCCTATCTTGGGAAACTACCAGTTGGAAATGCCTGTAGGAGCAAAGTCTAATCTACGGGGGTCTATATTGGAGTCCGCCTATCTCGGGACACTACCTGTTGAAAATGAGTGTAGGAGCAAATTCTAATATACCGGGGTCTATATTGGAGTCCGCCTGTTTTGGAAAACTACCAGTTGGAAATACTTGCAGGAGAAGCTTCCAATATGTTGGGGTCTATGTTGGGGTCCTCCTAGTTGGGGAAACTACCAGTTGGAAATGCCTGTAGGGGCCCTAAACACTAGCCACCTAAACCCTGTGCCCTAAACCCCTAAATCCTAAATCCTAAGCCCTAACCCTAAACCCCTAAACCGCAAACCCTAAACCCTAAGCCCCAATAAACCCTAAACGCTAAGCCCTAAACCCCTAAACCCCCTGTAGGAGAAGATGAGGCTGGAGCATTTGGGGCGGCCGCATGCCATTGGTCGTACATCTCAGGGCCATAGTCAAAGCCCATCCTTAAAGACAAGGGGCGTGTACTTGGACGGTCAGGGGGACATAGTAAGTAGGTAAATAACCCCTATAACCCATATAGTGACCCGAAGTATCCCCATTATAAACCTACTTACTAAGTCTCCCTGACCCTAGCGGTCCACGGCGTAGCTTCAGCCATTGAAAATAGAGAGTTGAGGTTCAAGTTCCGAGCTTGCAAATTGTAGAGCGTGATATGAATTAGGATGTCGCCTTATTAGCCGTGAATATTTCTGGGGCCACCCGCACGTGCGCTGCAAGAATATTGATACTTTGCNNTGCTGTTGGGCACTCCAGGGACACTTTGCGGTTGGGCACTGCAGGGATGCTTTGCGGGTGGGCACTGCAGAGATACTTAGTGGTTGAGCACTGCCGGGATACTTTGCAGTTGGGCAGTGT